TCTCTTTATCTTTAATTATGGACATTTTAATTATAATGTGTCTTGATGTGAGCCTCTTTGAGTTTTTCTTGTTTGGTGCTCTCTGTGCTTCCTGTACCTGGATGTCTGTTGCCTTCCTTAAGTTAGGAAAGTTTTCAGCTTTTATTTATTCATTTAGATTCTCTGCCCCTTTGTCTCTCTCTTCTCCTTCTGGGACACCTATAACACAAATGTTAGTGCACTTGATGTTGTCCCAGAGTTCCTTTAGACTCTTCTCATTCTTTTTCATTCTTTTTTCTTTTATCTGTTCAGCTTGGATGATTTCCTCTAGTCTTTCATCCAGCTCGCTAATCTGTTCTTCTGTATGATCTACTCTGCTGTTGAATCCCTCTAGTGAATTTTTCATTTCCAGTATTGTAGTCTTCATTTCTGATTGGTTCTTTTTATATTTTCCAATTCTTTGTTGACATTCTCACTGAGTTCATCCATTCTTCCCCAAGATCAGTGAGCATCTTTACAGCTCTTTTTTTAAAACTTTTTGTCAGGTAGATTGTTTATTTCTGTTTCCTTTATTTCTTTTTCTGGGGTTTTGTCCTGTTCCCTTGCTTGGAATGTATTCCTTTGCCTCATCATTTTGCCTCTTTCTCTGTGCTTATATTATGTATTAGGTGGGTCAGGTATGTCTCCTGATCTTGGAGAGTTGGCCTTATGTAGGAGATGCCTTTTTGGGCCCAGCAATGTGCTTCCCTCTCAACACCAGTTCCAAATTTTCCAGGAGTGACCCCTGTGTGGGCTACATGTGTCCTTCTATTGTGACAGGTTGCTCTTGCTGCAGGTGCTCAAGGAGGCTAGGCTGCCCCCTGGCCAGCTGGTTGTCATTCTCAGCTGTGTGTGGCTGCTATGGACCATTTGGTCACTTTATTGGGTTTGGGGAGTCACAGCACAGTTGGCTTCAAGGTCTAATAGCACAGTCCTGTTGCAATGTTTGTGTTAAGTGAGTAGGCACCAAGCATGGCTTGTTGCTAGGCTCAGGGGCTTACAAGTGCTGTAGGCCTCCAGCCTGTGAGGCTGTTGTCAGCTCTCTCAGGATTGCAGCTGAGTAGGGCTGGCCCCAGGCACAAGAGCACCCAATAGTTTACGGCTTTGGAATGTGGGGCCACTGCCCTCTGTGGCTGTTTGAGAAGCACAAGTCTACTGCAGCTGACAAGTTCCACTGCTCACAGGGCCACAGACTCTGTCAACACAGTCCTGGTCCATGCACACATCCTGACATCCTGAAGCAGATGCACTTGCCCCACTGCAGATGCCCACACACACTCCATCCACTCCCCTCACACACCCAGCCTCGCAGATGTGGATCCATTTGCCTGCCTGGAGAGTATTCTGGCATCTCACCTATGCCAGCCCACAAGTTGCCCAGGGGCCTGCTGTTGGGTGGGGCCAGTCCTTATGTCAGGCTGCCTGTCCTGCCTGAGCTGGATTAAATTAGCACTCTAGTGGGTGGGGCAGACCCTAGGCTAACAGGCCAGGGGAAGAACTACAATGGCATCTGCCAGCATCTCTGTCAGCATGCCTGTACCAAGTCACAATACTGGCTGCTGCCAATGTTTCAGCCCCTGGAGAGGTCTCACTTCTCACCCAGATGCACTCAGAGCCTATCAGGTGAGTCTCTTTTCAAGAAAGTACTGTGTACTTTTCTTTCTGTTGATTTTAGTTTTTTTTCCAAATCAGGTGAATTTCTGTATGTGCCCTTTAATAGCTGGCTTTTTTCTGCTTATGTCCTATAGCTTTTCTAGGGTAGTCCCCATTGTAGTTAATAGCCAGCAAAGCCAGATATTATGAGGCTCATATCAGTTGTGCTGAGTCCAAAGGATGCTTATAGTGGTAACACTCCCCTGCTCAGGTCCCCCATTCCTCCCAGGAAGGCTGTGCACCTTAGGGTTGCTCCCAGCTGACCATGAAGCTCCATGGCTCACAAAGGTGGCTGTTTTCTCTCCAGAAAGGAATTTCTACCTCTTCCACCTCAGTGAGGAGTGTCCCTTGTTGTGACGTTCCTTTTTATTCAGTTTTCAGTTCTCTCTCAGAGGTAATTGTTCCAAGAATAGTTGTAAATTAGTTGTGTCCATGGGAGGAGGTGAGTTCAGTGTCCGTCTATGCCGCCATCTTGACACCAACCTTTTTTTTTGTTTTTGGTGAGGAAGATTGGCCCTGAGGTAACATCTGTGCCACTCTTCCTCCACTTTATATGTGGCAGCTGCCACAGCATGGCTTGATGAATGATGTGTAGGTCTGTGCCTAGGATCTGAACCTGCCAACCCTGGACCACTGAAGTGGAGCACAAGAACGTAACCACTACACCACTGGGCTGGCCCCCATTGAATTCATCTGCTCCAGATTTTTTATTTGGGTCTTTTTAATGATTTCTCCCTCTTTATTAAATTACTTATTTTGTTCATGTATTATTTTCCTGATTCCATTGAATTGCCTTTCTGTGTTTTCTTATAGCACATTGAGTTTCCTCAAAAAGCTATTTTGAATTTTTCATTGGGTAGATCATAAAATTCCATGTCTTCGAGTTCTGTTACTGGAGGATTATTTTCTTCTGGTGATGTCATGTTTCCTTGATTCTTTATGTTCCTTGGTGTTTTGTGTTGCTGTTTTCCATTTGACATAGCAATCACCTCCTCCAATCTTTACTATTTGCCTTTAGTGGGAAGATATTTTTGTTTGTTCTGCCTATCTGTGACTTTCTCCAAGCTTGTATGAATACACCTGCTCCACGCTTCTTGACCTCTCTTATGGCAGAATTCTTAAGCTTGGATATCTTCTCTTGATCTTACAACTCACCATGCTGGCTGCTGGAAACCTCTCTTTTGTTTTCCAGAAGGTGGTGCTACCGTTCAAATTTATGGTATCTCTCTTGCCCCACAGACCTCAGCCTGTTTTCTGAGCACATTCTATGTCTAATAGAGCTTGCTCTTGCTGCCAAACTCAGGAGCACACACAAGGAGCTGGCTGCAGAGTAGGGGAGGTGTGGGTTTAATACTCCAAGTTTTGGGGGTGCCCATGGGCCAGATGTGAGGATCCTTGGGTGAGGTTTCCCCAAGGGATCTTTTTTGGGCTTCCTGCTGGAGTTCCAAATGCAGTCAGTAAGAACTGCATCCCTTTAATGCCCCCTGATTCTTTTTCTTTTTCTTTTTATTGAGGTCTCTTTGGTTTACGACATTATATAAATTTCAGGTGTACATCATTATATGTTGACTTCTGCATAGTCTGCATCATGTTCACCACCAAAAGTCTAGCTGCCATCCATAACCATACACTTGTGCCTCTTTACTCTTTTTGCCTTCCCCCGACCCCCTTCCTCTGTGGTAACCCCCACTCTGGTCTCCATATCTATGTGTTTGCTTATCTTGTACACATGAATGAAGTCATACAGTAATTGTCTTTCTCTATATGACTTATTTTATTTAGTATAATGCCCTCAAGTTCCATCCATGTTGTCACAAATGGCAAGATTTCATCTTTTTTATGGCTGAGTAGTAATCCATTGTATATATATATCACATCTTGTTTATTTGTTTATTGTTAATGGGCACTTAGGTTGTTTCCAAGCCTTGGCTATTGTGAATAATGTTGAAATGAACACAGTGGTGCATATATCTTTTCAAAATAGTGTTTTTGTGTTCTTTGGATAAATACCCAGAAGTGGAATAGCTGAATCATATGGTATTTCTGTTTTGAATTTCTTTTTCCTAAGGAAGATTAGCCATAGCTAACATCTGCACCAATCTTCCCCCCCCGCCCCCACTTTATATGTGGGTCACCACCAAAGCATGGCTGACAAGAGATGTAGGTCTGCACCCAGGATCCAAATCCACAAACTCGGGCTGCCAAAGTGGAGCACACTGAACTTAACCACTCTGTCATGGGATCAGCCCCACTATTTTTAATTTTTTGAGGAATCTCCATACTGTTTTCTATAGTGGCTGCACCAATTTACATTCCCACCAGCAACACTGGTGGCTTCTGATTTTCTTATCTGCCTCTTTTTCACACACCTCCCTTCTCCCAGTCATGGAAGTCCTGCTTAAATACTCTGGGTACTGCAGGAGAGAAACAGGTTTCTGCAGCAGTGTCCTGCATAGCTGGAGAAGCCAGGCACTCACTCACTACTCAGTCTTTCCCCCATGGAAGAGGTTGCCTCTGGCTATTTCAGCCCCATGTTACTCTGTCTTGAGGGAGGGGCAGTACTGGCAAATTTCCTCTTACTTCTCCAATGCATCCAAACTTGTATTTTCTTTTTGCTCCAATGGAATGCTGGAATCTCTCCTCAGGAATCCCGGCCTTCTATAAAAGTTCTCTCATCTCTGGGTGTCTCTCTAAATCAGCACTCACCAGGAATTCTCCAGCCACAGTTTAAAAGGGCTGGGGCCAGGTTCCTGGCCCTGATGATTCCACAGACAATACTAGGGTCTCTCTGCCTATTACTGGATGCACAGGTGGGCAAGACTCTTTCTGGGTCCCTTGGCCTATGGTGCTGGGTCTCACAACTTCCACAGAAGCACTTTTGCTTGTGAATGGATGTTAAGTTTTAGTTATTAAAAGGGGGACAAAAAGGAGGGATGTCTTATGCTACCGTGATGCCGACCTCCAATCCCTTTACTTTTAATCTATCTTTGTCTTGGCATTAAAAGTAAGTTTCTTGTAGACATCACACAGTTGGATCTTGTTTTTTCTTATCTAATTGGATAGTTTCTGTCTTTTAATTGGTGTATTTAGACTGTTGGCATTTAGAATGATGATCGATGTAATTCTTTTTTTTTTTTTTTTTTTTGAGGAAGATTAGCCCTGAGCTAACTGCTGCCAATCCTTCTCTTTTTGCTGAGGAAGACTGGCCCTGAGCTAACATCCATGTCCATCTTCCTCTACTTTATATGTGGGACGCCTACCACAGCATGGCTTTTGCCAAGTGGTGCCATGTTCACACCCAGGATCAGAACCAGCGAACCCCGGGCTGCTGAAAAGGAATGTGCGAACTTAACCACTGCACCACCAGGCTGGCCTCTGATGTAATTATTGATGTCTACTGTATTCGTTACTACTTTCTATTCCTTGCCCTCATTCTCTTTTTTCCAGCTTTATTAAAGACACTTTTTATAAACAATCATGGTATTTCAGGCAGGTCATGGGCAGACAATCATTAGTAGTATACAACAACTTTCAAACTCCCTTCTTCAATGGACTACCAAAATTAGAAAGCCACTATAAAACCCAATGAAGTCCTCATTTGACACTCCGAACAGGGAAAGTTTAGAGTGATGGTTAACATTTCATATTTAGCATGTTGTTTAACAACTTTTCACAAGCCAACTTTGACTTTCAGGAAACGAAATGAAAATGGGAGAATTATCAATCTGAAGTAAGAGGAAATTTGCCAGCACTTCCCCTCCCTTAAGACAGAATAGCATGGGGCTGAAATAATCAGAGGCAACCTCTTCCTTGGGGGAAAGGAAGAGTAGTGAGTGAGTGCCTGATTTCCTCAGCTGTGCAATCTAAAAAAGGATAGGCTGCTCATTTGAGGGATGCCATCTCAATGGTGACACTGGAAAGTCCAGATTACCTGACATATTTGTAAACAATTTTTTTGGGTCAGGTGCCAACAGGTCTCTGAGTTTAAGGGGGTCAAGTCTATGATGAAGATGGAGAGGAAGAAGAGGACTTAAAAACAAATCTTCATTTTTCCACACCACAAGGCATTTGTGCCAAGGTGGCCAATTTGTGTCAACATCAAAGAATCCTTCCTTCTGGGAACTAAAAGGAAGTCTCTCAAAACTAGAAAGGAAAGATGTTTTTCCCTGATGTCAGTCCAGCTTCAGAGACATTTTATTAGTGACATATGCCCTTCCTCAAAAAACAACAAAGTGTTCTGTATGCTAATAACATAGCTCAAAAAAAGGTAAAACAAAATCCTACATTTTTATAAAACCTGATAAAAATAGTATTTCAAACTCTAAAGTCACCAGAAATATATAGTTATCAAAAATGCACACATTTTATTTGGCATCTCCAGCACCTTCAGCTTTCTGTGCCTGGTCTGTTTTTGCATCTCCATTTTCTGCAGGGTTGTTCCCATCCTTGCTAGCATTAGCTTTTCCTTTTTTCCCTTTGGGTACCTTCTTTCCTTTCTTTGAAGGGGCTTTTCTAGCTTTATTAAAGATACTTTTCATAAACAATCATGGTATTTCAGACAGGTCATGAGCAGACAATCATTAGTAGTATACAACGACTTTCAAACTCCCTTCTTTAACGGACTACCAAAATTAGAAAGCCACTATAAAACCCAGTGAAGTCTGGGTTCTGGCTTTGGAGAAGAAGGTTCAGCAGATAACATTGTGAATCTTCTCTGTGGTTCATTCTTCATGTTGGCTGTATCTCCTTTAGCATTCTTCTCAGCTTTTCTTTTGGGCATGGTGGCAACAGTAGTGGGACATAGGTGCTGGACACAGTGGTGCAGTGGTGCATGGGCTTTGGTCAGTCTGGGGGTGTTCTTGCCTCTTCTTCGCACTGCTCCTCCTTGCTCTCATTCTTCATTTCTTTTACTGTATTTCATTCTTTTTCTACCTTCTCTGGTTTTTTTGGGGTGTTTTGGGGTTTTTTGTGAGGAAGATTCACTCTGAGCTAATATCTACTGCCAATCTACCTCTTCTTTCGCTTGAGGAAGATTAGCCCTGAAGTAACATCTGTGCCAATCTTCCTCTATTTCGTATGTGGGTCACCACCACAGCATGGCTTGACAAGTAGTGTAGGTCTGCTCCCAGAATCCGAACCTGTGAACCCAGGCCATTGAAGCAGAGCATGACAGACTTAATCACTATCCCACAGGGCTGGCCTGCACATCTCTGGTTTGAACTGAGCATTTTACATAATTTCATTTTTTCTTCTTTGTCTTTTAGAATATCAATTATACTTATTTTTCCATTTTTTTGGTGGTTGCCCTTGAGTTTTCAAGGCATTTTCAACTTATCCAAGTCCTCTTTCAAAGAACAGTATACCACTTCATGAGTAGTATAATTGCCTTATACCAGAATATTCCCAATTCCTCCCTCCCATCCCTTATAACATCGCTTTCATTCTTTTCACTTATGCATAAGCCACAATCACTGAATAGATTGGTGCTATTATTATTTTCAACAAACAATTGTTTGATCAATTTAAGAAAAATAAAATTTCATTTTACTTTCATTTACTCCTTCTCTAACACTTTTGCTTTCTTTATGTAGATCTGAGTTTCTGACCTGTATTATTTTCCTTTTTGTCTGAAGAATTTATCATTTCTTGCAAGGCAGGTCTAGTGGTGAAAAATTCCCTTAATTTTTGTTTGTCTGAGAAAGTCTTTACTTATCCTTCACTTTTGAAGGGTACTTTCACTGTATATAGAATTCTAGGTTGGTGTTTTTGTCTTTTCAACACTTTAAATATTTTATTCCACTCTCTTCCTGCTTTCATGATTTCTGAAGAAAAATCTGATGTAATTCTTATTCTTGCTACTCTATAGGGTTTTTTTCCCTCCCTCTAGCTACTTTCAAGATTTTCTCTTTGTCTTTGATTCTCTGCAGTTTAAACATGATATGCCTAGGTGCAGATTTTGTTGTTTTATCCTGCTTGGTGTCTCTCAGCTTCTCAGATCTGTGGTTTGGTGTTCTATCATTAGTTTTGGGAAATTCTCAGTTACTATTGCTGAAAATATTTCTTCTGTTACTTTCTCTTTTTCTTCTCCTTCTGACATTCCTGTAATACATATGTTAAACATTTCTAGTTGTCCCATAGTTCTTGGATATTCTGTTCTGTCTTTTTCACTCTTTCTTACTTTCCACTTCAGTTTTGGAAGTTTTTATTGACATTTCGACAAGCTCACTAGCTCTTTCATTAATTATTTCCAAGTCTATTGATAAGCCCATTGAAGTTATTCTTCATTTACTATATTCTTTGATTTATAGCTTTTCTTTTCCATTCTTTCTTAGTTTTTATTTCTCTGTTGCATTATCCGTTTGCTTTTGCATGTTGTCCAATTTTTCCGTTACAGCCCATAGCATACTAATTATAATTGTTTTAAATTCCTAGTCTGATAATTCCAATGTCTCTGCCTTACCTGAATCTGTTTCTGATGCTCATGCTTTCTCTTCAAGCTGTGCTTTTGGTCATTTAGTATGGCTTGTAATTTTTTATTGAAAGCTGGATATGACAAACTGGGCAAAAGGAACTGAAGTAAATTTTCCTTTAGTGTGAGATTTTATGTTTTTCTGGCTAGGGCTCAGGCCATATTTGTTGTTTTATGTAAGTGTAGATGTCAGAAGCTAAAATTTCCACTGTTTTTCTCTCTCCTATTGCTTTTGGGTTTCCCTAGAGACCGCTTAAATAAGGTCTGAGATGTGCAGTCTTTAGGTTGTATTCTCCTTGTTATTATACAGGAGCCTTATTGATGTAATAGTGAGGTGTGTGTGTGGTGGTGGAAGTTCTATAATTTTCTCTCTTTTAGTGATCCTGTTTCCCTGGGCTGTGACCTTCTTAAGTGCTTTTCAGTTTTGTTTCTCCCTACCTTATGTTAGACATGAAAGTTAGAGAGGTCTGGAGTTGTGTATTTCCTTTCCTGTATATCGTTTAGGCTCTGGTAAAACCCTAGTCAGTTAGGCCATAGTGAAACAGTTTCTCAAGAGGGTAAGCCTTATTAATAAGAAGAATGCCCTGGGTGTATTTCAAAATGGCTCTTTTTCCCTTCTTCCTGCCAAAAACACAAGGAAAGTTTTCTCTGATCTTCACTGTGAGAATCTAGTAGAGCTCCTGGATGTAAAAGTCATAGAAGTGTAGGTCTCCCTTAGACTGAGCCCACAAACTTGTCCACATTGAGTCTTGAGCAATTCATCAATCACAGTTTAGGTTTCCCTACCCTGATGCTAGTTCCCATAAAGGTTTCTTCTTTGGGTTTCTACTCCAGTAAATTGTGATTCTCTGTATCTCTCTGTCAATATTTCCAATTTTGGGGGCAGTAGTTTGCCCTGTGACCTCAATTCTCTGATGAATCTAAGAAGAGTTGTTGATTTTTAACTTGTTCATCTTTTTTTTATTGTGAGGAAGGGAGTGACAATTTCAAGGTTCCTTACATGCTGGACCAAAAACCAGAAGTCATCATTAGGACTATTTTTAATCAGTACAATTTTTTGAAATTATATGTTGGTAGAGTTCATTTCCATTTTAACTGAACAGATCTTTTGTACTTTATGGTGTTTATACTCAGCATTATTTATCAGTGCATGATCCTAAAGTTGTGACCTATTTCCCTTAGCACTCATGTGATAGTCCCCTGATTTAGGTAGAGCCTGTTTGCTGATGTCAAGTTCAGGGACGAGGAACTTATGGTAGACAAGCTGAGCATGATGCCTTAGTTCTTCTTGCAGGATACCTCTCTTCCTAACTAGGGAATCAGAACTCACCTCATGATGATTGCCTTTCACAATAATATACATTCATTCTTTTTATGGTTTCTAGATAGCCCTTACAGGGACACTTGTGAATGCTCTGGGTATATTTCAAAATGGCTACCTTTCCCCTTTCCTATTCTTTCTCTTCTCCAAAGTCCAAATGGAAGAGTTTTATGGGGTTTTAGGGGAAGACATTCTCCTCTGGACAACAGGAACATATATACTCCCAGCAACAGGTCCTAAAATATAATTTTAAATGTGAAAAAATTTTGAAAATTGTCCAAAGGCTAAAATATGGATAAAAATTTGAAATAAAGATGTTCTTAAATAGAAAATAATGCTTCAATAATAACACCATTGAGAAAAACTTCCCATCAAAGAAGGAAGTAGTGACTTGAAATGATTTATTGATCAGTTTTCAACTAAAATTTAAGGTTTTTCCTATATGGGGAGGTACTCAAGAGTCTTTAGAGGCTTTGGCAAGACTGATCCAAATAGAGGTCTATATGTGATGACAAGTAGAACACCATCCACCTAGGTAACATTGGTGCAACACAGGCAGCCCAGGCCTTCATTTGGGACCACTTCTGTAGGAGAAGCCCCTGGGAGCTTGTGGGCTCCAACTAAACATAGGTTCATTATAAGGGAACCCAGGGGATTGATCTGTGCCTCTTTAATCACACCAAATCATTAGGAACCTATATTGAGTGTCCTGAAGATTTCATAGGGGAGATGAGTTTTGGGGTTTATGCATAGATATTTTAATAGCTTTGTTACAATTAGGCATATATAAACTCTCAAATTTCCCTTTTCCTCCTCTAGTTTCTTAGGTTTCCTCTCTTTCTCCACTTTTCAGCTGAACAGTCTCTGAATCCCACTGGCTTCTCTTTCTCCCTCTGAGAGCTTTCCTTGGAAATTTTAATCTCTTACAATTTTTATGCAGAAAAGTGTTCATTCCTAGATTCTTCCTCCAGGATTATACACACAATCAGTATTTAACACTAAATTCAAGTAGATGATGGATTGCTAGGGCTAGAGATCTGACTTTGTGATCAGAAAACAAAAGAACCTCAATTCCTGGTACTATTTTCCTCATAAGGTACTGTAAATTATTATTGGTAGAAAAAAATTCACCTATGAATTTAATACAAATGAGCATGTACTTTTAAGGTAGATATTGCTTGGAGTCATTTCATATGTACTATCTTATCAACTAGGCCTTGACAAAAGTACACTTAAGCAATTAATAGCTATAAACAAACAAGAATCATACAACATAAGAGCACTGCAAGGGGATTAATGCAACGTGAACCCTTGTAAGGCTGCATCACTGACTAGCATTTGGTCACATGAGACTGATCTCAATTAGTTTCAATTCAATACTTACTTTGTCATTAACTAGTTACCCATACGCACACATACACTAGGTACACACATTCTTGGTACTGAGTTACAGCTAGTAATACTAAGTGTAGCATTATCAAAGTAACCAGAGCAACAGAAAAGTTAATTCTCAAGAGTTGGTGATTAACATTGAAATACTAAGTTGATACCATTTCAAAAATGTAAATGAGCAGGAACAATTGCAAAAGGACAGCCTCTAATTTTAATACCATTCACAAAATTAAATTCTCAGAAAGAGCAAACACCAAATATTGGAAAGAGAATAATTTTGTACTTTTGAGTGCAGAGGAATTAAACAAGATTGACAAGGGGCAATCAATGCAGGAAAAGACATAAATTTGGCAGTGTTAAAATTATTAACTCACGTTTTACAAAAGTTAACTCAAATATGATAGCTAATACCTATTGAAAATTTCTTCTGAATAGGGCAAAGTTCTATGAGCCTTACATGGATAGTGCCTTTGAATTCTCCAAGAAAGGCCAGACTGTGGGTATTGTCATTATTATCAGTTTTCATTTGTATAAAGTTAGCTATAGAGAGGATACATACCTTGCCTGAGAACACACAGCTAATAAGAGCAGAGATATGATCTCCAATAACTTGATGCCAGAGGATGTGTTTCCTAACTACTTAATGTCACTTTCTCTATAAAACCAGGTGTAATTTAGGCCAAAGACCAGGAGAACAAATTTGTGTATAACCATATGACACTAGGTACTGTGCATACATAATGAACTACCACATATAAATTA